TGTGGTTCCTGTAGTAGCTTCGCTACAGTGGCCCTGTTATGGGGTTCTGTAGTAGATTTGCTACAGTCGCCCTGTTATGTGGTTCCGTAGGAGCTTCGCTACAGTCGCCTGTTATGTGGTTCCTGTAGTAGCTTCGCTACAGTCGCCCCGTTATGTGGTTCCTGTAGTAGCTTCGCTACAGTCGCCCTGTTATGTGGTTCCTGTAGTAGCTTTGCTACAGTGGCCCTGTTATGTGTTTCTGTAGTAGCTTTGCTACAGTCGCCCTGTTATGTGGTTCCTGTAGTAGCTTTGCTACAGTCGCCCTGTTATGTGGTTCCGTAGTAGCTTTGCTACAGTCGCCCTGTTATGTGGTTCCTGTAGTAGCTTTGCTACAGTGGCCCCGTTATGGGGTTTCTGTAGTAGATTGCTACAGTCGCCCTGTTATGTGGTTCCGAAAGGAGCTTCGCTACAGTAGCCCTGTTATGTGGTTCCTGTAGTAGCTTGCTACAGTCGCCCTGTTATGTGGTTCCTGTAGTAGCTTTGCTACAGTCGCCCTGTTATGTGGTTCCTGTAGTAGCTTTGCTACAGTCGCCCTGTTATGTGGTTCCTGTAGTAGCTTTGCTACAGTCGTCCTGTTATGTTGTTCCTGTAGTAGCTTCGCTACAGTGGCCCCGTTATGGGGTTTCTGTAGTAGCTTTGCTACAGTCGCCTGTTATGTGGTTCCGAAAGAAGCTTTGCTACAGTCGCCCTGTTATGTGGTTCCTGTAGTAGCTTTGCTACAGTGGCCTGTTATGTGTTCCTGTAGTAGCTTTGCTACAGTCGCCTGTTATGTGGTTCCTGTAGTAGCTTTGCTACAGTCGCCCTGTTATGTGGTTCCTGTAGTAGCTTCGCTACAGTCGCCCTGTTATGTGGTTCCTGTAGTAGCTTTGCTACAGTCGCCCCGTTATGTGGTTCCTGTAGTAGCTTCGCTACAGTCGCCCTGTTATGTGGTTCCTGTAGTAGCTTGCTACAGTCGCCCTGTTATGTGGTTCCTGTAGTAGCTTTGCTACAGTCGCCCGTTATGTGGTCCTGTAGTAGCTTGCTACAGTCGCCCTGTTATGTGGTTCCTGTAGTAGCTTTGCTACAGTTGCCCTGTTATGTGGTTCCGAAGTGAGCTTCGCTACAGTCGCCCCGTTATGGGGTTTCTGTAGTAGCTTTGCTACAGTCGCCCTGTTATGTGGTTCCTGTAGTAGCTTTGCTACAGTCGCCCTGTATGTGGTTCCTGTAGTAGCTTCGCTACAGTCGCCCTGTTATGTGGTTCCTGTAGTAGCTTTGCTACAGTGGCCCTGTTATGTGGTTTCTGTAGTAGCTTCGCTACAGTCGCCTGTTATGTGGTTCCTGTAGTAGCTTTGCTACAGTCGCCCTGTTATGTGGTTCCTGTAGTAGCTTGCTACAGTCGCCCTGTTATGTGGTTCCTGTAGTAGCTTTGCTACAGTTGCCTGTTATGTCGCCCTGTTATGTGGTTCCTGTAGTAGCTTTGCTACAGTCGCCCTGTTATGTGGTTCCTGTAGTAGCTTTGCTACAGTCGCCCCGTTATGTGGTTCCTGTAGTAGCTTTGCTACAGTCGCCCCGTTATGTGGTTCCTGTAGTAGCTTTGCTACAGTCGCCCTTTATGTGGTTCCTGTAGTAGCTTGCTACAGTGCCCTGTTATGTGGTTCCGTATAGCTTCGCTACAGTCGCCCTGTTATGGGGTTTCTGTAGTAGCTTTGCTACAGTCGCCCTGTTATGGGTTCCTGTAGTAGCTTGCTACAGTCGCCCTGTTATGTGGTTCCTGTAGTAGCTTTGCTACAGTCGCCCCGTTATGTGGTTCCTGTAGTAGCTTTGCTACAGTCGCCGTTATGTGGTTCCTGTAGTAGCTTGCTACAGTCGCCCTGTTATGTGGTTCCTGTAGTAGCTTTGCTACAGTGCCCTGTTATGCGGTTCCGAAAGGAGCTTCGCTACAGTCGCCCGTTATATTGTTCCTGTAGTAGCTTTGCTACAGTCGCCCTGTTATGTGGTTCCTGTAGTAGCTTTGCTACAGTCGCCCTGTTATGTGGTTCCTGTAGTAGCTTTGCTACAGTCGCCCTGTTATGTGGTTCCTGTAGTAGCTTTGCTACAGTCGCCCGTTATGTGGTTCCTGTAGTAGCTTTGCTACAGTCGCC